TTTTTAACGAACTACGAGCGACGGCTAAAACCTCTTCAAGGTCATTCAGGAGGGCGACCTTGACAACATATGTCAAGGTCAAGGTCATCGGGGCTGGCTCCCTTCATCGATATATTTACCATAATATTTTTTTCAAATAATGCGCGAAACATTTTCTTCGTATATTTTTTTATTTAATGTAAAGTATTTATAAAGTTTTATTGACGTAGGAAAAATCATTATACATATAATTTACATATCCATTAAAAAGTAATAATTGTTTCCTCTCATTAATGTTTGGTTTTTACGTCATATTTATAATCATGTTCTTTACAATTATAAAATTTAACAAATGTATATTATTCTTATACATTTGTATACGAAATAACTTATCAGTAAATAAAAATTTTTGTCTTTATCATCAGATGATATTCGCGTAAGAATACTAACTGACGATATACTCTCGACTGTAATCGAATAATACAGCGAGTCCACTTATTCGTCTTTACCTACAGCTGATTTGCTTCAACATGATTAAAAGTTCCATCGTATGCCACCTGTTTAAAAGAACTGCTAATTATACAATTTAATTTTAATATAAATTTGTAAAAATATAGGAAATGTTCACTTTTAACATTTATTATTATTAAATATATGAAATTTAAAGTCAAAATTTAGAAAATAAAATTTGAAATTAATAATCATATTGTAACACATATTTATAGTACAATTCTGCTTTTTAATCTGAAAAATTTGTACCGTAGAGAAAATTACTCTGCAGTGTGTATGTGACTACAATGTACTTCTTTTTTTTTATCGAAGCAGTCGCTAGGTGTGTCGCATTTGTATTGATTTTTAAATACTTTTTACGATTGCAAAAATTTATTTTATTTTTATTTTCATTTGCTGCACGAAAAATAACTTAAAGATTCTCAAAATTAATTTATCAGTATCACTATTTCCATTTAAAACAACAAAGCTGTTTTTATAAAATGCAAATTTCTGATAATAATGTAACCTTAATTTATTCAAGTGTTTCTTCGACTCGAGATTCAACTTGAACGTAGCACTTGAATCTATCTCATAACGATTTTTCTATAAACAGAAACTACGCATATTCGGATAATAAATTCCACCCCGACTTCAACGTCGTTTCCGTCGAAGGCCACCCTGTCAGACACAAGTGCGTGCTTCACACGTCAATTTTATGTCAGTTCGTGTAAATACAGGCCTCACATGACAAAGTACTTATCCCGTGCTCTGACAGCAATCAAAATGCAGTCGTAATCTAAAATATTGGCGCATAATTTAGCTAGAAATATCACATTTCGGAATACATAAGCAAACTTTTATTTAAAAAGTAGCGCTTTCTTGTATTATTAATTATTTTCCAGAAAACGTCTTTTCTTCCTTTTTTAAAACAATTTTGTTTCAATAAATTTAACTGCAATATTTCCTTGACAGACCAAATACACATGATATTTCATTAATTTATTAAGAAACTGTTTTATTTTAAATACGTAAAACTTTTCATATATGAAATTTAGAATTGTTATAAAATTGACTATGTACAAACCTCGAAATATTTGCCGTTTACGGATTTAAAGCTTCAGAGATAAGAACTTTTTGTTCTTACGCGGAATTTAAGTTATAAAATAATTAATTTATAAAACTATACTTATCTAAAGTATAGTTTTATAGATTAATTATTTTATAACTAGATATGAAGATGTAAAATAGTTTTTTTTATCAGTGTGCTCCCTCGATTGAGAAATAACTCTTGTCTGCGGCTGAACCTACAGGAAACGCATGTCCCTATAAGTGATTTACAACTTGCAACAGCACGTGGCGAAACATATGAGACGTGCCTGTAATAGTTTCTGAATATACACCCTCCATTACACGCCCCTACTGGCTCATTCGAATCGCCGTTTCTCCCTTACGAATTACCAACTATGCGAAACGCATTGACGACGTCCGTCATCGATATCGTGGCGCGTTTCTCTTTATTATTATGGAAATCTAGCGTGAAAAAGAGCCCTCGGGTACGGTAAAGCGCGAACGATAAAGGCCGAGAGTGCGGATCGTTGTTAATGAGAGTGAATATACGCGTATACTCCATCGCATGAAATTTTCCCATGCGAGCGTATTAATTGTCGCGTTCTTGCGAAAAAATTGCCAAAGTTGACAATGTTAAATTTTGATATAAAGGCGATAATCGAAGACCTAATTAATCCTTTGATTTAGTGTAATAGAAAGTTGAAAATTGTAGAAAATTATGTAACACAGGTGTGTCTTTAAAGCTCGAAGTTAATGTCAGTTACGTACGTGTTGCGCGTAACTTAAATAATTTGTCTTTCTTAGAGGGGAAGTTTAATTAGTCGTCATATTTATAATAGTTAAAAGAATGCAAGAGTACTTTATTCAAATTTTAAATGCAATTACCCAATCACTTAATTGTCAAAATAATCTTTGATTGATTCGCCAATGAGTTCTCTTCTATCCCTACAACGGATCGATTTATCGCTCGATCTCCTCTCCAATCTCCCAGCATAATTGTAAGAAAATAGTAGCAAAAAGTAGTTTCGTAGGGTCAATTATTCGAGATTTCGCTCGGCGAATTCATTATCGCGTTACAACGTCATTATCAACTTAAATTTACCAACTTGCCTCTAATGAAGGTCCAAATTACAGTGGCGCAATGCGCGCCGTGAAATTTTCGTCCCCCGAAAAATGCGGAAAGCGGGCGAAATTACTGAATAATCGTCGCAATGACGCGACGGGGGGAAAAAGGGAGAGAAAAAAACACAATAAAACGAGGAAAAAGAGCTAACTCTCAGGGGTCGAGACAAGCGTGTTAGCCGCGGGGTTGTAAGTTAACCCCGCTAACTGGTCGCGGGACACGAGCGTCCCCGACGGGGGGGCCCTCGCCGTCGGGGGTGTTCGTTATGCTGCGAGCCCTTTGAGAGGGTCACGTGCCCGTGCGGCGGACCCCTCAAGCCGATATCGTATTTGTACAACACGCACGGCCATTATTGTAATACGCCTGTTTGTGTGTTTTGCGCAGTCTTTGTGCGCTTCCACCCCCTACATGATCCGTCTCGGCTCTCCTCCTCTCTCTCTCTCTCACTCCTCCTCCTGTTCGTCTCTACCATATTTTTCCTCGCCTCTCTTGT